TATGATTTATGACGACTAAACTCTCTGGAGTGTATGTACATGTATGAAAATTTACGGAAATTTAATTTAATTTTTGTACATTTCTACCCTAATCCATATATAGACTTCTATAATTAGTGAGGAAACTCGTGAGCTCGGCTGAGGAAAGCGAAAATATATTCCCCCAACAAAAATGCTAATAGTATTGGAAAAGCTGTCCATGGTCAACTACATGTGTTAGTGACAATATGAAAATTCTCAGCAATTTTTTTGAGAAATTCTCATTGGTTTCTGTACACTTCTACCACCCGAATTCGTATATAAGCTCAACTGAGCTCAGTAGCTGAGGAAAGCGAAATTATATTTTTCCAAAAGTGATGTTATGATTTCTCCCAGTGCGGCAATCTATGCACATGGTCAACTACAAATTTTTTTGCGATATTATCGTTGATTTTTGTATACTTATACCCAAAATCGTGTGCTTTTTCTCATAAAATAGTGAGGAAACCTGCGAGCTCAGTTGAGGAAACCAAACATATATTCTCGTACTGATTTCTCCGTTTGTAGGTATGGCCAAACAGGGTCTGGGAAATCCTACACGATGATGGGAAACGACGAAGAAGAAGGAATAATACCGAGGATCATCGAGAGCCTGTTTGAATCTATGAAGCATGATACCACAGGTATATATATATAAAAAATATTCTGAAAAAATATTAAAAATATAGCTTTCCTCAGCTGAGTTTAGGAGTTTCTCACTAATTTTCGTACGATTTCGGGTAAAAGTGTAGAAAAACCAAATAGAAATTCCCAAAATTTTCTCAGAATTTTCAGCTTATGTGGCTGACCATGTACTTATTCTCATAAATTGAAATTTACGCACGGCAAAAAAGGAAAAAAATTTCTCAGAATTTTCAAATCGTCACCAACGCATGTGGTTGACCATGTATATTGTATGCCATCATGCTGGTACTAGTTTGCATTGGATTCATGTTGCGGCTGTTGTGGTAGGAGAAACGAAGGTATGGGTTTCTTATATAGAAATATATAATGAGAGAATTCAGGATCTTCTCAGTGCGGGTAGTAAGGGTATCTTAGGTTCAAGCGAGTAAGATACGGATTAGGTACGGTAGGTGGCAATGCGGAAGGAGGCGAAGCGTTGCAGATTTTTGAGCATCCGAAATTGGGCGTAGTGGTACCGGGAATTTCAGAATGCCCTGTGGAAAGTGTTGAGGAGGTAGTGATGGGAAAATATGCACATGTTTGAAAATTTTGAGGAAATTTTGGGAGATTTTTGTACACTTTTGTTCAGTGTAGGAAAATATGTACATGGTCAACTACGTGTGTTGGTGATAATATGAAAATTGTGAGAAAAATTTTAGGAAATTCT